ATAGGGTGTCGAAATAATTCATTTTTGCAGCTACTCAACATATCAGGCGGCAGCAGCAGTGAAAACATCAAGAACAAAACTCCGTACAACAATTTCCATGTAACTGTAACGCGGGTAACGATAGTACTCATACTTTTACTGCTTCTTAGTTGATTAAAGTAGGATTAGGTTTTCTTTCGTACCGTACTGAAAAAGTACATAAATGTAAAATACAGTTGAAGAGAAGATCAAAACTAATGTGTGCTTCAGGTTACTAACCCCTTAATTGTTCTCCCGTGTAAAACGGGCTATAGTGCATAAACTCGAAACCCGCTTCTTTCACTTGGGTCGTATCTCAAGGGTACATTGGATTATTTCCGTAAGCCAAATATTAATACAACTTTATTGGCAGACTCTTCCACGTCATTCTTATTTAGTTTATATTTTCGCCCAAAAAATCCTATCGTATGTTAACGTTTTTTACGACAACGACGACTACGACAACGATGACAACATCATCAACAACAACAACAACAGCAGCAGCAGCAGCAGCAGCAACAACAACAATAGCAACAATTTACAACGTGAACACTACGGAGAGGCATAACGGTAGGCAAAAATAGAAGAGGTACTTATCTCGAATTCGAAAATATCGTTAGATCGCTATGAGCTACATCGCGTTGACACGTCATGCGAAAAAATATCCACGAAACCAAAAGTATATTTAAGATAATTCTGTTTAAGTTAATTAGAGACGTCCATAATAGCTAATGTGGTAATTAGCAATGGGAAAGGTCCAGGGTGAGCTAAGCCCTGTGCTGCAAAAGCTCTTTAGGCACAAGCTTAACTATGACCAAATATGCATGCAATAATATGTTTTATCAATGGGAGAGTTCGCCTTCAAATATGTCGACAAACCGAATACTTAAAATGGTAAAACTTGTTGTTGAGGAACTTACGGAGATGAAAATAAAGTCATGGCAGGAAATACATGAACCGCAAAAAGATTAATGCCAAGGTAGTTAACAGAACGTTGCCTATCTATGGCTGACAAAGAACGCGAACTCGTTCCTGCGATATGATAGGATCAGTTATTACCGTTATAGGATTATTTTACCGTTTACACTAGTCTTGAGATACCTGCATTGTATTCGTGGCTCCATCAAAGAGACACCTTATTTCGAAATCTAGGGCCGGAAAATGCACTTTGTAAAAACTAGCCGTAACTTAGCTATTACAACACTTGTCTAACCAGTAATGTCGATATACAATGAAACGTGGCGTCTTGCCACATTTTGTTACCTAAGGAAATCTATTTAAATGACAAATTTCGATAGAGCAGCCTTGCATCGAGCCATGAAATCTCCATCTTTTCAGTACGCCAACACCTTATAGCACATCAAGAGCAATGTTGTGACATGCCCTTAATTAGAACGATAGTACCAGTCGAATTTCTCACATAAACATACTTTTTTCATAATGTGTATGTCATGTAAATTTTTTCTCATATCTGCCTAAGTTTACCGATCGAACACGATGGTTATCGACATGAACTTGTTGGTAGTAGAGATATACTGATATAAGACAAAACGGTCGTCAAGCGTTTTCCGAAGACTTTCTTTATCTTCCTGACAAAATACGTAAGTAAGCGTGAGTCCATACTTCTCGCACAATTGAATGTACATCTATTGCTAAGCTAACTAATACGACGCAATTTTGTCTCGTCTGCGAGATTAGGTACGCAAACTATACTTTTGGCCCTTTACAGGGAAAAAAAGTGCTCTTTGATGAATCACGTAGATGTTTAAAAAATCGAAACGTACAAGCTGTCCTATTTAGCCACAGGCCGAGAATATAGAGTCTCGTAAGAGCAGAATGGGTACTGAAACGTGGTCATAAACGATCGTCCCACCATCTCCCGTACTACAGCAGGCAATGGCTGGGTTCAAGGTGCCGATTCTATGGACATAGACACACCGTGCGACTCTATTTACGAAATGCCGAGCAGTCGTAAAGGGCTCACCGTAGACGTTAACAGGAAGTATTTACACGTCTACCGGTTTCCCTCATAGTTAAGAATATATGAAGTATCCTACGTTATGGGTATGCTGCTGTTACGGAGCTTTTATTATTGTTTGTTAGTTTATTATTGCTTGCAATAGTGATAAATATAGGAGAGCTACGGGAAACTGATGAAATACGGGTGTCCGTATTTCTGATCCGTATGATGAGGGCCCGAGGAGCGTGATCTTCTCGTTGTTATGTAACATCTGGTGTAAATCGAATCAAAGGAACTAGACGTGTTTAATTGTCTGGGAAAGACCGAAAAGGACCTCTTAATGCGTTGATACTCAAGCCAATGTTTGTAATGATGTATGAATTATAAATAGTACTATTTTAATTCAGACGAGGTACGACTGAGTGACGTAAATTAAAAATTTCTAATTCTATAAATACAAGTTAAGTAGGGTTGCAATAAAACGCTCGCTTACCCTTTCATAATCATTAACACCAATCAACGTCCGCGTCCTTTAAATGAGCAACATTACTAGTGGCGTAGAGGAAACCAGATTTAGATATATTACTGCTTGAAAGTTGGATGATATTCCTATATTTGGCATGTCTTTTTCATGTGGTAGATGCGACGGTAACGTTCCATTTCCTAGGCATCGATAACGTCTTGATGAATCAATCTTAATTTCATAGAATCATTCAATCGATCTTTCACCCAAAAGAGTTGTTTGGCAGCCATCTAAAATGCTCTTCCATATAAACTTTTAATCACTTAAACTTACGTTGTGTAGCACCCAATCTTCAGTTAAAGGCCTATCAGTTATCCAGTTCTTCTGGCATCGCAAGAGCGTTTTGTCACGGAACTATCTATCTCCACTCAGTTGTCGTCAGATCTGACACGCTGCCAAGAAATTACTCTTGTTAACTTTAGTCTGGTTCGGGGTCATATAGGACATGCGTCCACAGATTTCCACGATTCTTAGGTTTGAAATTTTTTAATATGTATTCGGTTGAAGTTCTGTATTAGTGAGGTTCGTATATTCGGTTTGTGTATGTGTGTTATATAATATACATAATATAGTCAGTGTTACTATTTGGAAGGTGTGAGCGTACGTATCAGAGATGTAAGGCAGCTGACTGCTCATGGAGAAACAACAAACTGGGAATATATTTATTACCTTGTGGGGATGGTTCACAAATAGATCGTTTAGTCCACATATATGTGTTAGTATTTCTTAACAGTCTCTGGTGCATCATCTCGTAAAAGATCCTGCAGCAGCTTGCTGCTAGCAGACTCTAGTCTCAAGGCTAGTAGAGATAGACCGTAGGCCAAGGCTGTACCTTTTCCGTTAGGATGGCCGCTTGTAATCCGGATCAGCTTGCTTCAACATACGTCCATTCGCGTCGTGTATTTAATGCAGGTTGCATTAGCAGCTTACCCTGTCTAATAAACAGGGATCACTCAATGTTGTACCATGCCCAAGGAAAGGTAAGGCAAGCAAACGTACCGAACAGATGGCATAGCAACTAGCGTGCCGGAGAAGATTGGATAATGGCCTGCGTCCTTAGTGCGGCATAACCAGTTTTTGACGACCTTTCCACGCGCAATGAACTTTAATCAAAGAGCGGGTGAAGCTTTCTTTGAAAATTCGAAGACGTTGGTAGAGTTGTTTAATTTCATTCGCTTAAATATATATTGATAATCTAAATAAAGCACTTCTTTTTACGAACGTGCTCGATCCAAATAAGACAGCACTTAAACGAGTGAACCTAATTCTTTACATAACATTAAAAGAATGTGGAATCCTTATTACAACGCTCGCATCTATGTAGGTACGAACACGGTTGGTCTGTGTTCGTGTTTTCTTTTAGGAAACATTTGCAAATGAGTTCATTGATTAAAAGTGGCAGTTTCGCAGACCCGTCCAAATAGATTATAAAGAGCGTTTTTGAAGTCTGTCTTAAGTTATTACTCAGTACTTGAATAGGCCGTTTATAGCTTGACTTTATACAGCTTAGCGGAACTGTATTACTACGTAGAAAAACCACAACCTATGGCATAACTCGATCGGCAAAAAGTGCACCGAAAAGAAACCATATAGAATGGCAAATGTCGTTAGGAAGCTTTAGAAGAGAAGCTATCTTTCCGCTGAACGAAAACGCGTTCACAAAGGGTAACTTTTATCTTTTAGTTGCACAGGCTGATAATTAGCCGAGGGAGAGGTTTTTTCAACTGTAGCACTCAGTAGATTTTAGCTCATATATAGCTACTACATTTCCTTGTACAAAGCACAAAAGTTGCAAAAGAAAAATCCTACGGCATAACCCAAAGGTCTGACAATCAGTGAAACGGAAATGTGTACCACCGGCTTCAGCGTAGAACAACATCATAACGTTTGTACTTTGTCCACTGTGATCACTGATCTTATAATGCAGACGTACACAGATCTTTTTCATGTAATTTACATTGCATGGCCTACCTCTATCGAAATTTGCTATATTTTCATACTCAGAAATAGGTACGAACCGCGAAATGCATCAGCTTTGCCTGGCCTCGAAGCTACACCGCACGTGTTTATCTAATCAAGTATATTGCCATGTTGACAGTTAATGTCCATACGTCAAATTAAGCAGAACAAGTGGTATATTTTAGCTGATAAAAAGGGAAGTTATATTTTTTCATCAACATTACGGCACTGTGTTTTACCATCACATTACCATAGGAACCCCCCACTTTGCTACCATAGTCTTGTTCTTGAATAACTTTTTTAAAGAGGTTTGGGTTATACTTGCACAGACAGGGCAAAACTTATTTTACGTGGGCCGAGTGTACAGCGCAGCTCCGACGTTTGGATTGTATATTGCGTTGGTGCTACGCTAGGGAACCCCTTCAACAGTTCCAGTAGCGGTTATCGCGTCGCCATCACCGCTCTGTTGCCTTGGCGATCACCCTCATGCGTTCGGCAAGTGTGTGAGACATTCCCCTCGCCATAACGGTGTTCACCCCCCAATCATCGGGCAGCTATCCGGTTCCTACTGCCCGCGTCACCAAATCATCTCCAGTGAAACTGCACTAGGAGAACTACCCCGCCACTGTTGTTTTTATCTCAGCGCCTTCTGAAGTCTGCGAAGACTGTCTACAAACGAGGCAATATTCGCACGTCATTGGATACGACGCTACACGTATAGACTTCGACCAAATTGCAATATAAAGATTATTACTCTTACACCATAAATCCGTTTACAAAGCAAGCTGAAAAGCCAAAGATATCGAGTTTGTGATAGTGAACCGCATATCGAGGATTCTCCCTTTACAACGATTCTAGGCAAATTACAAAGGCCTGAAGGAATTGAATAGTTCCTTTGAATTTTTGTATTCTAGTTGTCTCTTTCAAGTAAATTGTTGTGTGGTACTCCACTGTGTGGGGGTGTATGGGGGAGTGTCTGTGTATGTGCGTTCGCGTCTGTTTACGTTGACGCTGCGCTAATCAGGGTGCACACAAACACTTTTCAGACTGAAGTGGTTTCCGGCCAGAGAGGAGACGTCGGTGATTGTTTTACGTTGTTTTGTGGCTAAAAAAATTGCACGAACTGTGAGTTGAAGACTTCGTCGAGCCATCGCTGAGCTGCTCAGGCAGCGTGCGAAGGGACGTAATACTCCACCAGGAACTCTTCGGCAAACGCTAAAAATGGCAGACGGGATAGCGGTCGTGACGGCGATGGTACTCGTACACGTCCTAACAAGTAAAGGTGCGTGAAAGAGGGTGTTAATGTCAAAATCAAACGGATAATTTATCTATGTCATGGCGTGCTCTTCTGTTTTGTGAGCATGCTCAGTAGAAATGGTCGTTTTTCAATTATGCTGAGTTAAATTATTTTGCATTTTTGATCGCAATCATCAACGTTTGGATTTGACCGCTGTGTTATTTCTCCGACCGTTCATGTTTTCGCATATCAGCTTCTTAAACAATGCTATGAGGGCATTTTCGTGTTCCGCAGAAGTGTTTGGTTGTTGCTGTGGTTGTTGTTGTTATTGTTGCTGTCATAAACTCGGATATTTATATCCGTGTCATTTGTTTGTTTCGAAATAATCGATGATTACGAGGAGATCGCTTGCATGCCATGTGTTTGATATCGTCTCGTCATACCTGGGATATTCAGTCCATATTCCCCTACAATGACAGCCAGCCAGACGTCCAGTTTAATTAGTTCGCACATTGTGGAACTTCGTTGAAACGTAAGTAGTTTCATTCAATAACAGCGACGCTGTTACAAATAGAGCTATACGAAGTGTCTACATGTTGGATGCTTTCATTAGGTGACTACTGAAACGTGAAAAGTTTATAAAAGCCATCTTCTCAGTAGCCGTTACCACAATTAAATAATTCTAAACCGATGATCAGATGCGGAACGTCAGCGGCGCCTCGCCTGTTTTCAGTATACATAATGCCTGGAAATTACAAAAACATGTTTTCCGGACTGCAACACCGCCTCGGGCCAAAAGCTGTGGGCCAGTATAGATACCCAAGCCTATATAAACTCTAGTTACATGATAGATCAATATACTACGAATTACACAATGGAAAATAGCTGGTGGAGAGGTCAAATAAAAAATATGAGACATTTAAAAAAAAACGCTTGGTAAAAAAATCGTGTTCCGTTCGCTGAACTCGAATGAATGTACGCGCGACATACGACCGATGCATCTAGCTACGCGGTCTGTGAAAACAATACCGAGTAAGTTGTGGTTAGATCACAGCGTAGCGTCAACTATATAGTTATAGAAACTGATCAGGGCGTTTATTTTGCCAGGATGTACGTGGTATCCTGCAAGAGACGAAGGTGTTCCTATATCAGGCCGATGCCTTTCGCTGCCAAGTCGTTCAGTGCCGCTTTTTGGATAAACGAAATTCGTTCAGCTCGAGTTAAATAGCTGAATTTATTTTTCAATATTTATAAACAGGCGTGTGTTTATCGTACAGGCATATTCGTGATGCGACAGAAATACTTGGTGTTGCACAATGAAGATAGAGGAAAATATGATAACCGAAGTCGGTGCCTTGCAACATTATAGGTTGAAGCGCAAACAAAACCACACAAGCCTATATATCTGAAAATAAAAATTATTAAATTATGTGTTTTTCACGAACGTATACGGCTACGACGACGACGACGACGACTATTTAGGGATTCATTACATCTCGCGTGCCGTGTCGCGTCATGATCTGCCAGTAGTAATCCTTTCATCAGAAAAACCCATTCGTATTTATTTCAATGGGTTAACATAGTTTTTATAACTGTGATCAATCGTTCGTAATAGAAGCCATGTCTTCACTCACGAAGGATCTTATGCTGTCTATGGTTTTATTTTTCGGTAGAATTAATCCTGACCCGCTATTTTGTTTCCTGTAATATATTTTCGTTTGCCGCCAAGGACATTGCGGTACATTGTTTGCCTTCTAGGAGAACATAACAAAGAGCTTCTATTCATCGTCCTTTCGAATCTTTATTAGCTTTGCAAAAACGTCGTTTGTGTTTTTATCCACTCTGAAAATTAACAAGATGCCTTTCGTAGGTCGCTGACAAATTAGTCGTCTCAGTATTTTCAGCAGCTGAATCATTGTTCTCTGAGGTGAGATGGAATGGAAATGGTCAGTAGCGTAGAAAGCACGTTTCTCCGGAGGGATCGGAGGGATTAATACCCCACCCATGATTCAGCCCTACGCATTACATCGTAAACAAGGTCAATTCACCAGGAAATGAATGCGGTTCCCTTCATTTTATCAGTAAACTTTCAAGCTATACACACATTGCGACCCCGTCAACACTAACCAGTGATGCGAGCTGCCATATTTGCCAAGCGTAATCACCGATAATCTCCACAGTCAATTACAAAACTAATCCATCGAACAAATCGCTTACAGATCTTATAGGACTTTGCCCTTGTTTATTTTATAACTTGAAAAACCGTCGCAGCGGTCAAAGTAACGAATCTCCTATCTTGATGCCGAATACTGATTTCTTCTTCGCGGGTGCGTCAACATCCAGGACATGTAGATGATACGTAGTACTGCAACTTGTCATATCGGCTATTTCTGTGTGTGTGCGCGCGCGTGTATTCCAACACCTTTACATGCTGTCTCGACCTGTATCATGCACCCTAATGAAGGGAGGTCAGCGTCAAAGTCAGCCCAAAGGCTCTTAACCGAATCAAGCATCTATTAAACCATCAGAACCGTAGTAATTGCGCCGACACTGCTGCGCCCACGTATCCGTGTGCGCATAAAGGTATAATCTCACTATATAATCGTCAATCAGTAGGGTATCTATAGAATTGTCTGAATGTATTAAGTGTTCGTTCGTACTGCGGCTCGGTTGACGAAAGCAGGTTACGCGATTGACGGGGAACGTTGGGCGATTATTTATAATCTTGTCTGACTTCACACACGGCATTCAGTGCATAGATTCACTGTGACTAAGATTAGGTACCAGATATAAAATATCAGAAATATCCGAATCTGCTCTAGCGTTCAATAACAGCGTTACCGTTAGACGCTCAACTCCGCATGTACACATCGTATTTGACTATCGAGCCAGGCCAATGACATTTTACATCTTCCGTCGCTGTTTTCTCTCTGCCGGATCAAATTGGGCAGATGAAACGCTGCTCGATCAAGCTTGCACGCAAATCCACTTTGTGTAACAGCTGTTCGGCGTATACCTAAACTGTGAATATAGCTCAGTTATAATTGGTCAAGTTCAGAATGAGCCGCAGTTCGCAAAAGCGATAGTTTCATGGAAAAATTAAGATACTTAATAACGCATGCCATATGAAGAAGACAAAAGAGACATTAGTTTATACCGAATTTCGAGCGTGAAGATTCTACGATGGCAATTTTGGGCGTTATATAAAGGCGTTATGGACACAGAGCGGGTTTTCCCTCGAGCTTGCATTAGGTTTTTATTTCGTTTTCCGATAGTAGCTGCTCAACGGCTTGTGAGCAGGCTTATTCTGCTTGTTGCTTTTACTTTGACAATATTTATTTTAAGTGGGCCAACGACAGTGAAGGCCAACTGAAAGGCTTTTCTTTACTATAAATAAAATACTTCGTGTGAACTCTAACACTTCGCGGCTCACGTATTTATCCAGTCATGCGTGAACTTTATCCACTAAAACCTCATGTGTACGGATGACAATGAGAAGCCTACAGATCTTGTTTGACTTCGAACTTTCTCTGTGCGGCCGTCCTAGGCCACATCGTTATTCATTTTAATTACCATAGTCGCACACACTACCCGCACTCGGGAAAGTTTTCGACGAGGTTTCAGAAAAAGCGGCTTTTTATAAGGCAAATCGCCAGATTTACACATGTGAGGATAATGGGGCAATTGAAGGCGGCAGTTAGGTGGCAGCCTTTGCTCTCAAATATGATGCACCTCTCAAATACACAGGAAGGCCATGCTGATTCGCTGCCACTTCAACCTCACCCCAGAACACACACACATATACGTGTTTTGTCGTACTCATCATTCCACTAACGCCGCTTAACTACCGCGCACAATGAGGCCGGTTCCTACTGTTTCGTTCTTTTTTTGGGGGGAGAACTTGTGCCGACCTCTGCTGTGTACGACATTTTCTAAGGAGCAATTGCAATGACCACTTTGGCAAGCACGATACGTAGCGACGCTTTCGATCCGTTTCTTTCTGCCCGTGTCTAAACCGGACAGCGGACGCAACGTGGCTTAGTTGATCGTCATCTGCGTCGACCATCCGAGCGCTGTTGAAATCCACTGAACCTTCTGCCTTCCTGCAAACAAAAAAACGACACCGCTCAGATCTGTAGTGCTTATACGCCGACAGCTGTTGTTCTTACGGCTTGACTATAGCGAGCCAATGCTCTTGATGTACCTTCATCTACAATAAACGTTTGTATAGTAAATGGCTCCGGCAGAACGGGCTCTCTGTAACGGACAATCAACGGGTGCACGTATCTACTGGCAGCAATAGCATACCGACACAACTCGATAAAGGCGTCATCAATCGAACACTTCCCTGGTTGGCATCTAGATAGTGGACAGATAACAGTAGGCAGAGCATAACTTTCTCATTAAGTGAAACAGGTTGCTCGTATCAGCCATTTTGTACCGTTTGTCTTTCCGCACGGTTGCTAGGGCAAAAGGGCACAGAGGCAAATGTGCCGTTATGAGAGGCAGAAAAAAGAGGAATACGGGGACGCACGAGCAATGGAAACAAATTTGGCGTAATAGAAAATATTGCTGTGGAATCTGTTCTGTCGAGAATCGATGCGGCTCGTTCGAAGAAATTACCCCAGGTGGCGCAATATCACTATTAGTCAGAAAGCAGTTACTATAATAGCATTACCCCCTAAGAACCGATATTTTCATAACGGATCGGTGGAGATTTACAGGCGGGGGGGCTAATAGTTGGTGATGACGTGGAGTCAAGCGTATCTAGATAGGATGAAACAATGAAGAACTTCACTATAGTTTTTATTGGCGAGTTTTGCCATGCCTGTTAAAAGAAAGTGACTCTGAGGTAAGATGAAGGGTATATTTAGTGAGACATCATTAGATCTTAGGTTACGTGAGCTTTTTTCAAAATTAGGGAAGTACGATAAGCGGTTGCATCGTACGAAGGGAAATGGCTATAGACGATTCAGAAATCATCGATGAGCCGAGCTTTGTGAACAGCAGAAAGCGATTTGGTAAAAAAATTGAAGATATTATGG